GAATAAATATGAAGGACCTCGGGAGCGTTCGCGACCAATTAAAAGTTCACCTCGGAAGGATTATGAATTCTTGATATCCATTATTGGACAGCGGATGGATTAAAGGAAGCTCTACCAAGATTAATTGCTCTTGATTCGAGACCATTCGGAAGTCAGATATTTATGGACTTCAAATGATTTGTGCGGAAATTTAATTTAATCGTTTTATTGTTAAGAAATGATTTAGTAAAGATACGTTAAAATACGTCGTCGTTGTGTTTAGAGAGATTTTAGGGTCTATGGAAACTATGGAAACGGTAGGCATCGAAACGAAAGATGAACCTTTCCCTTTTCAATGGCTTTCCTTCCCTTTCACTCTCTTTCCCGTTCGGTCGTTAATGGAATTTCGTATATTTCGTAGACAAAAATTTTCCCTCGGCAACAAAGACCCGAAGCTTAGCAGCCCTTTCTCAACGAACAAAACCCTTGGGGGATAAATCAAAACCGCGCAGGGAATGGACCGGTTGGTACACCTGATCCCGAATTTCCCGCACTGAATAATTATTTTGAATATTGCGACAACGACGACGACGCCACGGTACCATTTTAAACGGATTACCGTATTTCCGTCCATTACTCATACTCAAGATTATGGATTAATGGACGGATGCAAATTCCCACTTCCGGAGAGATATGTAATTAATACCGGATGCATTCGGATCCATGACTTTCATTAATTTCTAGCGTTAAATTAGAATAGACGTAGATTTATTAACATTTTCAAATCAAATAGATATCCTTGTTCTACTTTCCATAAAATGTATTATTCAAAGATACACACACTATACAATGGTAATGCTTCACTATGCGTTTTCACGATGTGAATGTGAAGGTGAGCATGGATGTGGAGGAACGTAAGTGAAGGCGCGGCGCGATATCGAATCTAGAGTAGATTGTGCGGGTTAAATATTTGTCTGGGGAAGTGGGTCGGGAACACCACTGCTAGTGCCTAAATGTAAATGTTTGATCGGCCGCAATTGCGACCCCTGCTTTCCGGGAGGTCCTAGCAATCGTCTTCAGACCGACGGAATCCTCTTCTTCCTACTCCTCCATCGACGGCATCAAGGAGAAGTGTTTTTACTACACTTTCGACGCTAAGTGGTTTTTAACTCGCTCGATGGAAATTGTAAAATAATGTTTACCGTGCCATTTTACTTTTATAATGTTAAGTGATGGATTTTTTTAGAAAAAAATTTAACCTTGGACTCAAATTGCCTCTTCGAATTCATTTTGCATGCAAATCCTTACCGAGGCGCTGTGTTAATTACGTCACAGGACGTAGGATTACAGCGCCATCTAGGGAGTTATTTCATTTTATCCAATTTACGCAACCGGCTCCTCCGCCAAATTTAAACGTCTTTTTCCAGTCAATTATACCAACACTCCCAACGTAATCCATCTCCTCCTCATTCCCTTTTCCTTTTTTCCATCTTTCTACTTTTTTTTTCTTAACTAAAGTAAATAGGTTTCATCTCAACCTGGTAAGCACATATATTTTCTCTCGCGTCTCTTAATGATCATTTCAGCAACACCCTTCCAAAGCTTTATTATTCCGAGTGAGGCAACCTACCGTCGCGTCCTGACAGAGAAAAGCTTTTCCCACACAAAGCACAAGATGAAGTGCTCTATTAAGATAACATTCAGACGGGATTTAGCCGACGGCGACGCCGGAACTCGCGTCCGCCAATAGAGAAATACTATCAAAGAACTACTGCGAGACAATGTCTCGACCGAAAACGGTAACGTCTGTCTTTGATTTGAGCACCAGGAAACAGACTGCGAGTATGATCCGCGAGTGTAGAAGGAGATCTCACTTGACCCAGTTTGAGAGGAGAAGACGTCTCCAAAAAGGAGAGGGGAGAAACATCGCAAAAGCTTGGTTCTTCCATGTTGACGTTTAATTAATGGATAGAAGAGAAGTGCAGAAAAAAGGGGGGCTTTTGCGATGAGTAAAGGGGTTCAACAAAAAAAATAGGGGGTTCTTTGTGATACCTGTGTAATTAGACGTAATAGAGGAAGTGTTTTGTGGTTGGGTTAATTAAAATACTTAAGCTATTTTATAGTGGTTAAATAAAGAAATCTTCTTAAGAAATTAATTTTTTATGAAGTTAATACACTATAAAAATAGATATACATCCGTTTCTAGAAATCGTCCTCGAATTACTTCGTAAACATCCCATCTCTTTCTGCCCGCATAATTCGAATGTAAATACAGGAAATGTCTTCAATTTCGCGTTGGTCGTGTGGTAGGACCCTTCCGCTTTCTCTATGGCATCCCCCAAAAAGGCCTTTCCACGCTCAACGAGGGGATATTTATTGGACAACCCCCGACGTGGAGTTTCCATGGGCGACAACTTTCAACGAAATATACATTTTGCTTGGGTGGGTTCTATCGATCTTCTCCACCACGGACTACATTCAAGGTTCTTATTTGCGATTTTTAATTAAATCCGATATCTAAATCACACGTGCTCCGAGGTTAGTCCGTAGAAAAGTTTGGATTTTCAATTAAACTTTCTTGTTTTTAAACGGAGAACTTCTTAAACAACTCCGTCTCCGGCAGTAGACGAATAAAGTTCGACGACAAAACAATATTCCATACGCAGTGGCTGAAAAAAAGGAAAAATGGGGTCGCGAAGTTTCGTTATTAGATTGTCCCCCCTTTCGGAAGTTCCACCTCGTGGCGCGCGTTTTGGGGAGAAGGCGGGGATCGGCCTAAATTTATCGGTGAATAAACCTCCGCTCCATTAATACGTCATGAATTATTAATGCGTCACGAAATAAAGTTTCGGCGATAAACAACGAGCGGTTTGTTGGTGGGGGCGGTAATTCCTAAATAGGGGGGAAATTGAAAACCCTATTGTACACAACTATTATTTCAAAAATACTAAAAATAACTACAGTAAAATCTCAATAAGATCTGAAGATCAGATCTAGATTCTCGATTCTAGATTTAGTGTAAAAATATACAATAATGTAACACTGAATAACAATTAAAACTAGAACTAACACTAGTATTAGAACTAACACTAGACTTAGAACTAACACTAGACCTAGAACTAAAAACATTCGGGTTTAGCCGTCTTAAAAGACGTACGGATTGATTTATACATAGATAGACAATTCGGGGAATACCCCAAAATTATCCGTTATATTCAAAGTCCACTCTCTATATCGAGATTTTACTGTACTTTAATTAACACAATATCATAATAGTGAACTCGAACTTTGTCGAAAGCGAAAGGTATTTCCCCATGGAATATTGGCTCTCTAATAACCCTTTATCAAATAAAGAGGGTTCCGCCCTAAATCGAAACTCAAAACACACGATATCTCTTTGTTGTATTTATTAATAAATATTAGAGTCAGTGATGTAACTGAAGCACTCGAAAATTCGTCTTTAAATTGGACTTGGTTGTCGCTGACAAGACGTCGTGCTTGGGCATAAATAATCGAGCGCCTCCTCCATGTTAATTGACAGAAGTAGAGCGACGACGAAATGCTTGGAAATAATTAGTTATTAATGCGCGTCGACGGCCCTCCTTGACTTTTGGGCCCCAAAATGCATTATTCAAGCGTCGTCGCGGGAAGATACCGAATAATTGATAATAGTAGGACGACCCGTGTGTTTGCGAATTAATTTTTTCCAGCAACAACAAAAAAAATAACGGGTATAAAAAAAGCGTTTCGTTTTCTTAGGTTATCAAGGCAAAGTCAAGGGAGCTTTTATTATGCCTCGTCGTCGGCGCCACCGCGCCGCCGTCTGAAGTGTAAAGTTTCGGCCGCACATTTTACGGTTTGTTACACCTGACGTGCGACGGCCGCTTTACGAACTTCAAATATCGCTTATTACCACACTTTACGAGCGACGGTGAATAATGAATTTGTCTTATGAATTAAAGAGGATATTGTGTTTTCCGGAAAATTTCGCTTAAAACCGAAATGTTCTTTCTTCACATTTTCTTTTAGTAAACGAAAAGAAAAAGAAAATGAGGTGGAGAATTTATCATGAATGACAGGGATGGATCGATCTCGGTGTATAGACGTTCGAAATACAAGTCTTTTAAAAATTAATGGGGTCTTGAATAAAATATCTCAATAACGTTGAGGAATAAAGTATTAAACATTCATTTTTCGCTTCTTCTTTTATGTATTGACAATTCAAAAATTCATACATTTAAACATATTCTATCAAATATTGACAATCATAACAAATATGTAATAAGAGATGCCTATACAAATAATATATAAGACCTTTGATTTAAGTCCAAGCTCTACATAAGTAATGAAGAACTAGATACTGCTAATAGAAGGGTAGATATTACTGGCACGGGACTAGATTTCGTTGCCAGAAAGCTAAATATCACTTATAAAGGAATAGATACTGCTGCCAGAACAATATGCATATTATACATATTGATAATGTAATACTTCATATTGCTACCAGAAGTCCAAAGACGGCAAATGTAAATGAATGACTAAATACTGCTAATAAAATGTTAGATTACTTCCAAAGCAATAGATATTGTTTGCAGAAAACTAAATATCGCTTGCAAAGGACTAGCTTCTATTGCCAGAATATTAGATATTGATGTTGTAGACCTAGATACAAAAAAAAATCTTATGGAGGAGTAGATATTATTTACAGAACACAAGGCATTGCTAAGAGAAGACTAGGAATGTATAATAGAGAACTAGATACTGCTAATAGAACGTTAGATTACTTCTCAAGCAATAGATATTGTTGACAGAAGACCAAATACCACTTATAAAGAGACAAATTTATCGACCAAAACAATCATTAGTCATTGTTGATAGAGATGGAAGTAGACGAAGTCATTATAACTCAAAAGCGCCATCTCTTGAAATGTATTATAACTAATAATAAAAAATCTACAAGGTTTTCTCCTTCATATAGACAATTTTGATAATTAATAATTAACATTGAATTTAACACTTACCTTATAAAAACTGTAATGCATCCACTTGCATTGTCCAAAACCTGAAACAAGCAAATAGATCGATATCAAAATCAAAACTAAAAGTGTGTAATGTGAAGAGAACTAAACAGACAAACATGGAATGTCATAAATCAACTGTAACAACATAAACCAGAAGTGTTTCGTTCGTTCTGGCACGCGTTCCAAGCGGGCATCTAAAATTAATGAGATACTCGACGGCATGTACAATGCAAATCAATTAGAGTAGAGCGCCAGCGTCAGCAACGTACTCTATCGGTGGACGCTATTGTCTCTTCACGCGAAGAGATGCTAAGCGGCGCCCGCAAAATGTACTCTTTACGTTTGCCAATCATCACGGTCTCTCTCTTCGCTGCGTAGCAATTTGGGACCGCATTGTCCGGAAACGTGACTGTGAGTTTGCCTTGGGGCGGAAAATGGAAGAACCACCCGTAAAGTTGTTGGTTGTATATTCGCAAAGTTGCCGTCGAAGCTTTAAAGAACGTCCCTAAAGACATTCTCTCTGACGCCATAATGTATACGACGTCAATTTAAGTTTGTGTGTTGAATATATTGAGTTTTAAAAGTTTAAAACTGCACACCAAGATAACTAATCCTCTACCAACATTACAATTGATTTGTAGCGAAATAGATATTGCCGAAGCAATTAAATTTCCCCTCTTCCATGGTTTGGAGCAAATCCCTCGAAAATTATTGCCTCGTCTGCGTTGGGCCAAAAGGTGCGACGCAATAAATGTGAAATACAACCGTCCACCAACGTCACGCGCTTATGGGGAACGTTGGGTTGGGGTTGCAATCTCAACCCTTCAGCTATTAGCTTTTCGTCCACTTTCCCCATTGTACGACCCGGGGTGGTTTTGAACCCAACACCGTTGAGAGGGGTAAAGCTACTGCTAATAATCCACAGATTTGTATGCGTGCCTTCACGCCGCGTTGGTGTTTTCAGTTTTCAATAACCTCAAGGGTCTATATGGAAAGGGATTCTCATTTATACCACAAATGAACGCCTTTTTTTTTTAACAAAATTTGAATAAAGGGAATATTATTACTTAGTAGGGAACATTGAACATAGGAAATGTAGCAGCGTTAAACCGCGACGTGTGTCTAAATAATTCAGGAGACGGGAGTTGGGTAAAATTCAAAACGAACGCGGGGAAAAACCGAGGTAATAATAACGGCTGGACGTATCGATCCGGACAGCACAACGAAGCGGGGTTTCAAAATCCTGTTTTCTAAATGGATTACCCGACAAGCTGCGGCGATTTATGTCCCCGCGATTTTTGTCATATCAGGATTCGCACCACAATCCGCAAATAAATATTCTTCAAACCGAAGAAGATCGCAAATGATCGCGATTATATTGTTTACTTTTGCAAAGTTTTCCCATTGATTTGTTAGTAGTAAACTCGAACGAGGAAAGAATCGTTTTACCTCCCGTTTTAATCGCGCGGCTTTATCAAGGATATTGCCCTATAAATTCAGATTACTCAGTTCTCACGAGAGAGCCTCGGCACTCCACCGCGTAAGGCAAGCGCGATTGTGCTATGACCTGTGACCCCCCGAAGCAGCGAGTTCGCTCGTGATCGTTATTCATTTTAAATGGAGGAGGTCAGGTACCAACGACCCTCCTTACTATGGTGCATGTTCGAGAAGTGTTCCTCAATATGATCTAAAAGCTAACCTTTCAATTTTATTCTTCTTACACTTTTGTTAGATATTACTCCATATTTCCTAGATATTTTCTAGATATTATTTAGATATTTTCAAGGTATTGCAAAAATTCCTATAAAAAACCTCAATAGTTTTGTAAAAGAAGATACTCGAAACTGGTAGAACTATATAAGGTTGGAAGGGGTTGGACACGCATACCAATAGCTACTAGGTGGAGGAAGGGAATTGGGAGGGTGGCTGGAGGCAGACGCGTCGAGTCCCCCGGGGGTGAAAGACCAGACGACTTACGGCCCTGAAGGGGGACAGCGCCCCCCAGATCGATATACTACGACTGCCGTTGGAGAAGGAATTCGCACCGTTGCCTCTGCCGCGGATGTTTATAAGGATTTTTTGAGAAAAGAATTCCATCCCCCGTTTTGTTCTTTCACCTACACCCACCACTTTGAGTGCGAGTGTGAAGCACGCGACAGCTTCAAAGTTAAAAGAAAGTGTTGCAAGTTTCGTCCCCTCTTCCCAAGAGACACCAAATCCAATAAACCTATCCACAAATAAATCGAGGATTCTAATTTTCCCACTAACATTAACGTGTTATACATTTTAAAACTGAAAGTGTACGTTCAAAAGAAACTTTTGGAAACTCGAAAACAAAGTTATGTCGCGAATGAGGCATACATCATAATAACGATGCCCGGAGGTCGTTATGTCTTCGCGAAGGATCGCGTTCATCAATTTAATTGCCCGTCGGCGTTCCGTGAGCCATATGTATGCTGAGACGCGTTTACCTGTGGGATAAATAGATCAAAAGGAAGATTCATAACTCAGCATCCAATCCACTACTAAAGCGAGAAACGGACGTCGAAGAAAATCGTTTCGTTTACTAATTTTACACGTACGTTTCGCTGTTTAAATCAGTCCGAAAACGAAACGGGAGCGAAACGAAAATAGGGCGGGAATTAGTAAACGGTTCTTTAGTGCTGAAACGTGTTGTAGCTATTTCTTCCCGGCTGATTTAGACAACGATTTCAGACGTTATTCTTACGTTAACAGGTTTATTGGATGAACGTGTTCGCCTTTCGACCCCTTGGACTTAGACGTGATTTGAAATTTAAAAAGTTTGAAAAATTACAAGAAAATATCGGTTGTAATATTCTAAACCACTTCCGGCTGTGGGTGCGAGTATTATCCTGAAAGCTAATGCTTCAAGGGTTCATACAGGATGTAATAATATATGAAGGCATTATAGGCTGTATTGTGTGCTCGAGAAGCTACTCCTCCATTATTTTAGTCTACCACCTTTTATGTGAGGTGATTTTTTAAGACATAAAAATTTTACATCAAAACTGAATACAAAATAAAAACCGATAAAACTTTACTCTATAAAAGCTCGATATAAAGGAGAGAAAATTATTAGCGGTAGAATTTAGCCGTGAATCTTTTAAAACGTCTTGAGAGACGTGCGGCTAAACCCGCAGGTTTCTAGTTCTATCATTCGTTCTATCCTTCCTTCCACCTTTTCCTCCGTATATTAGGCTAGGCCTAATTATTGATTTGAAGACATGCAGCAAAGCAAAATAGGCTCCATTAGCAAGAACAACGTTTTTTTTATTTCTGAGTCTTCCTTTCCATCGCCACTAATTGTAAGATTCATTCCCAGGTAGCCAAAGATGTTCAAACGTTCGATGTTGTCATCAGGTAACAATGGTAGTGTTAAAACAGTGTTCTGATTTCCATATTACCTATTCTAAAGTCAAATTAAAGAGTTTCTGTGCTTGTCCATCTTTTTGTTTTACTCCCTGTAAGTACGTGAATTATTTGGTGAGTTGCCCTTGCATACGGACAAGAGCTTTGACCTGTCATTGTCGTTTTGGTAAGCTTTACTAACTTTGGCAGTATTCCCAATTCGTGCATAATATACAGGAAAAGTAACGTATAAATTCGTTAAAACAATTCAGAACAGTTTATGGAAAAATAGCTGAGACGGGTCTAAAGACTTAAACTATTTGCAATTGTTTGAAAATTTTTGAGAAAAGTTATCTTAAAGCCTCATGATTTTTCATTCACTTGAGATAGAAAAAAAGCAGTAGCTATGCGTAACCATAGCAAACAACTGTTTCAGATATCAAAAATTAATCATTGTCTAAGGCCCACTTTTACCACCTCCTGATAAATTTATCCGATAGATAAATCCAGTTCTTAGCCAATGAGAGCGCTTAAAACCGCCGTAACCATGGCAACTATTCTCTAGATAGTTTATCAGGAGAATGGTAAAAGTGGGCCTTAATAAAATATCTAAAACAACTGGTTGCCATGGTTACGCATTGCTACTGCTATTTTTCTACCTTAAATGAATAGAAAATCATGAAACTTTAAGTCAATTTTTCTTATGTAACTATTATTAATTTTGACTGTACCAAATAAAAAAAAAATATCTTCTTTCATATTCCGTAATAAAAATGGGGGATTGCTATTTGAAAAAAATAGCGATGATGTCATTACTAGTTTAAATAGCCGTCTTGATGGACGTGCGGCTAAACCCGAATAGAACTAATAGTTCATTCTAATACCGTTATATTGAGGTTTGATTGTATGTTACATAAAAGTGCACTACTTTTTTCTTTATTAGTACGCAGAAAATGTTCCCTTTGTCGTTTTACAAATTGATGAATTTCCTAGCTACCATTTATCCCTCGCCGGGAATACATTTCCTCAATCCATACGCGTAAGAGCACCAATCTTGCGCTATTACGTCGCGGTCTTTTGTAACGTGCCCCCCACTTTCGGAATCGGAGGCATAAAATCTCTCGAACAAAGAGGGAAAAAGTGAATAGAAAACGGCAAACTGTCGAACATGTAACAATGAGGTAGAAATCTGAAAATCCACTGACTACTTAAGCCGAAATTATAAATCGAATTTTCCTTCTTTTACGATTAATAATTTTAAGAAGTACACGATTTCCCCATTTGTTTTAAAAGCTCAACATTCCCTCGCTTAGGTACTAAATTATCCCTTTATGTTCATTAACTCGACTTGCTCCAGGACATTCCTTAGGGAAATGTTTAATTTTGATAACACACTTAACGTTTTACTCTTAAAAATTAAAAGTTATAAATGATTATTAATACACATATTATTAAATTTTTAATGTATTTGACCTATATTTAATTTCTATTCGCTACATATTCATCCGATAGTCACGAATCGGTTATAATGTTATAACAAAATTTACGTTATTACCCAAACAATAGGCCGGCATTTACAGGGATAACAATAGCTCAGATCATGACAAAGTAATCGAAGCGTTGCGCAACAACCATTAGTCATTGCCGTTCAAAGTTTGAAAACCGTAAAATG